AATTTTATCCTGTAGCGAGCACTCGTGCACCTGTATAATGAATAGCACATTATCACATCTGTGTTTCACTATCTCAATATAGTATGTTTAGTCCTCATATCCTTCAGTTTATCATGTTATTTACTATTTCATCTAATGTATGCTAGCAAGATGCACCCTATTTATCCTTCTGAGGACAACAATAGCAAGAATAAATGCTAAACTAAAGGAAGGAATTAAACAAAATAGCAGCTCTATTTGTGCTATGCTGAGATGCAGTTCTTGGCAGCCCCAGAGATTCAACAGTCTGGTATTTATCACGACAAAACGCAGAAACGTCTGATGATTACATGAAGGGAAATAAAAAGACTGAACATAAACTGCAGACTGAGAGATAAGGGCAGGTTTCTACAGCAGGCAGCTGCTAAAGTGGTGGAGTGTCAAGTCAGCCCCGTGCTGCATCAGTGTGCCCAGGACAGGGCAGTGAGGGGGGCAGAGCTGAAACCAGTGATAAACAGGACAGTTTAATACCAAGGAGGAGAATTAGGCAGCCTGCTTAATCACAGTATTTAACACCATGAGGATTATTTTTAAGGCATTTATATCACTCCTTCCTGTCCCATCAGATAATGCTGCAAAACGCTGGCATTGGCTGTGGAGACTATTTAAGATCTTTCTTTCTGTGGTGTTCAGTGAGATGCCTCTGTTCAATAGCCCCTGTGTCAGAGATTTAGCATTGACATGAGTCCCTTGAGGACATGCTCTGTCCCTGGCTACAAGGTGGGCCCAGCCTTGAGGCACACACTGGATTTCACCCTGGCTCTGTTAGAAGGTGAGTGCTTGGCTTGACCCCTCCACAATATGCCCTGATGCAATGGGGAGGGGTTGCACTACCATAGATCCTTCCTATGAATAGGCTTAACACCCTCAGGGGGTTTTGGGGGTAGACTGATGGACAACTTATCTCCTTGAGTGTGGGAAGCTTCCGGTTTCTCTTGGGACTATGATACCAAGATCACTGAAACCAAGAGCTGAAGAATAAGATTTATTAGTGAATCTGAAAGGCATTTCAGACAGTCATTTCACAGCTTTGGTCAAAGCTGTTTGAAGTTAGGGTTAGGATTTGAGCACAGGAAGATACAAATCTCTCCATTACTGCCATATGTGTAAAGTTCTGCTAACTTAGAGGAAACAGGCTGATGGAGGCTCAGGTTTGAGCTGCGTCGTGGAGCACAGAGTGATCATCAGTGTAACTTTAGGGCTGTGGTTACAAACTGGGCTATGATTTCAGTTTGACAAAGGAAAAGTGCTGTTGCCTGGATCGCTCTGGACATGGCGCAGGCCACATGCTTAGTGGAAGGAGGGAGGAGGAGGATGAAATACATTATTCTGTGCAGAGGGAGAGAAGCTCCTGGCTTTTAGCAGTTGAATCCCAGTGGTGGTTGTCCTCCATTTCCCTGACACAAGGACAGAGCTGAAATAACACATGATCCTTCAGGTTTGGTTTCATTCCCTCCTTGTAGAGTACAGCCTATTTGATGCAAGATTCAAGGGAATGATGAATTGCACCCTAGAGCTGGCATTTCCTAAGGGCAGTTCAGGAAAAACATACAGACATGCTGCATGATACAGACCTACAGGCTCTGCAGGGTTAACACAGGTACTAGCATGAGCCTCTGCCTGGCAAACTCTTGTGACAGATGCTTTCCTCAACCTCGCTGCCCCAAATAAAACCGCCAGCCTTCTAGGATCAATAACCTCCTCTTATGCAGGTGAGGAGATTGCTGAGTTACCCTGGTAGCCTCCTAGTGCAGACCCTGTTGCTCAACAGTGCCAAGGGCATCAGAAGCAATTAAAGAAAAATGAGAATTGATCTGAAGAATGCAATAATCATCCATCTGGCTGTAGAGAAAAAGGATTTTATCACCAATACACTAGAAAGGGTAACATTTACTTGAGGATAGGTATTATGGCACCCACAGAAGTACCCCTGAAGCCTCAAGGACTTGCATCATAAATGATTTAATCTTAAAGAAGAAGAGAACAATAATGTTGCAAATCAATCCAAGAGGCTATGAAGGCTAGAATTGAGCAGGGAAAGGGTTTCTGCCTCCAGTCTTGGCCCAAAGTAAGCCCAGAATCTCCCTAGACCCCATGCCTGCCCTTCCATAGCGATTTTGCTTCCCAGCATGTCATGCCCAGCTTGTTTTTGTAATCACTCTTACATCTACTCCTGAAAATACAAGGGCATTCACCCTTTGCTGTTCTCCTGTGTCCTGTCCTATGGAGGCAGATGTGCTCATTTCAGGGTAAACTTCAGTGGGGAGACAGAGAGCCAAAGCTGAGTAACAAAACAAGGGGGTTTTGAAGGAGAAACTGAAAAGTGCCACAGCTGTATCTCTGCTTGTGCTTTGGTGGCTGCTCTTGGACAGGCAGTTCTGTCACTCTGTGCTCAGCTTCCCGTTGCACTAACAAGGGACAAGGAGCTTCACTGATCTTAGTAAAGCATTCAGTAAGCACCACATTTTTCTTTCATGTTCTGGATGTCTCTGCTATATGACACACACATCAAACCCTGCCCGCAACGGAGTAATTAAATGGCAGCGCTAAAGGGATGTCATAGGATGGGACTGACTACAGCTCACCCAGAAACGTCTCCCCAAGTCCCAGGCCCTTTGACGTGATTCTCCCCCCTTCCTCTGAATTTCTTCCTGCATTAATTTCAGCCAGTCCTGAGATTATTAGAAAAAGGGCCTTGGGGGACTTGTTCAAAGGCACTGGCACCACGAGCGGCTTTGCTTTCTGAAGCGAAGCATTTCACTCCTATCTGTCTGGACACACGAGCTGCTCAGCACTGCTTCATTAGGCGAGTTATTTTTAAATTCCCAGAAAGAGCAAAACATTGAGAGAGGAATTAGCATTTGCTGTTGAAACAGCTGCAGAGAAGAACAGGCAGACACCCACTGCGGGTCCCCCCTGCCTGCCCTGTGATTAACCAGGCAGCAGGACCCGGAGTCACTGACACACGTTCAGGCTGCATATCAGAGGTTAGAAATCATGCCTGAAGATGAGGATTGGTGAGTGACCATCAAAACCGTGGTTTGGGTGTAAATAAAAGGGCAAGTATCTACGCTGAATAAGAAAATGTCTTTGAAAGATCTCTTTCCTCCAACCCCATCCTGTGTTTCCGACTTTCTCCCTTTTTCTCTTATGGACTTGGACACAAAATATTCCTTTCTGTTTTCTGAGTACACACCAGTGAAAAGATACAAGAGTCATTGCCTCTCCAGGGTCCTTGCCTGCCCAGAGTCCCTACTTCTCCTAAACAAAACCTAAACCCCAGTGAATACACAGCTCTTTCAAAATGCCAAGGCTGCCTTGTGTTCTCACTTTGTAACACATTTCAGTTTCCCGGTGACTAATACTGCTCTTACAGCACAGAGTTAAAGTAAAAGGCACGGCAACAGAAGTGTGAGAGGCAGGTTCTGGTAGCTGTGTTTTTGCACATGCTGATTGCCCTGCGGCTTGTGCTGCTCAGGGCGGCTGTGGCTCACACTGATAATGTTATACAGGAAAAAAAGAGGTTGGAAAGCTGCAGCCTGTTACGGTTATGGCCTAAACCTGGAAAGGGAGGAGAGGTGATTCCAAATGTCCTTTACACCTAACTGGGGGCACACACGAATCACGGCTGAGGCAGTGTGCAGCTGCTCCACCTCCTCCCTTCGCCCCTGCCTGCAGTCACAGTGATTCTGTATTTATTCAGAAGGAACCTAGCAGGAGCTGTTCCAATAACCTGCTCCCGATTCCAGACTCATATGAAGGCTGAATTCCTCTGAATTAATCCTTGTTCAAACTACAGCGTTTCCTTTGGAAAAACCCTATCTCATTACGTGTTTGCAGTGATTCTGCAGCCACAGGCGCTCTGCCAGCCGGCAAACCGTAGGTGGACTGTTTGCAGTGGACAACTTTCACCACTGCTAAAAATACACAGCAGCCTATTTGAATGTCCAGCTACCAAACACCACTTTGCCAGCTAAAGAACCCTGTAATGTCAAATCTGCCATCTGCCCTCCTAGGGACTGCGTTTAAAATGCTCCTTGGCCTTTAATGTCTTAAGAAGCTGTGTTCCTTGGGTGTTTTCTCACAAAGGTGTGCTTTCCGGCCCTCAGGGAAGTCTTCCTGGAGCCCACAACCTAGGTAATAAAATCTCCCTTGTCTGTGTCTCCCTTTTTGGTTGCACAGAAGCATCAGCTCCTCTTGGCAGAGCATCTCATTAGGAGCTCATGTTCAGCTGATTATTCCTCTTCTGAATCAGTGTTTTCTATGACTTTGTCACCCACCCCATCGTCCAGCTGCGGCTCTATTCATAGGCTAACGACTTTACATCTGCTGGCATTGAAAAACATGTTGTTTACTTAAGCTCAGCTCATTAAGTGATTCAGATTAGGTTTGGTATCAGCGACCTGCCCTTAACTTCTGTGCACCTGCAGATCACCAGTAACGATTTTACATCCTGTTGTAGGTCACTGCTCACACACTGAGTGGCATAGGGTCAAGAACCCATAGGAAAGGAGCTGTGCCTCGTTCCGTGATGCCTCTGCTTACAATTACACTTGGAGACCTGTCAGTTCGTTTTCAGTCCAATTAATACTTGTCATATTGACTTACATCGGTTCCTCTTCCTCAATCAAAATACCGTGAGAGACAAGATCAGATGTCTCATTAACTGAAGGTTTATTCTACCAGTGCTACTACTTGAAACCATGACATTCAGGAAAGTGTCTGGTTAACTCGACAAAGCCTGCTTTTCAGAATGTTACAGTAGCTTCCTGAAATGATTTATTAGTGAGGCTTCTTACCTACATTATTTTGCTTGGCACTGCTGTCAGCATGACAGACACACACCACATTTGCTCCAGCAAAGGCCATGCTTTCACTCCCATCCCCAGATGGACTCAGCCTTCAACTGAGTCTCTGTAGGGCCCTCTTTCTTGCAAAATGTGATATCCATCTCTTCTGCAGGCAGGCTTGTGCCTGTTTGTGAGCACTTCAACAGGACACAAGTATTAAAGAGGCAGATCTGAAAAGGGAAACTGTGGAGTCAGCATAATGAGAAGTGGTAGGCAGCTTCTGGTTGTTTAATGAGCACGAATTCAGTGTTTTGGGAGCCTGTAAGCAACTTCCTTTCAAAACCGTGCAAGAGCACTTCTCTACAGCAACCAAACCCACCAGCAGTTACTCCTTCTTAGGTATCCTTGATCCCAGAGCATCAAGCACTGTCTGTCATTAACTTCTTAGGAGACAAAACAGCTGCCACAGATCTCATCTGGCCTCTTCTCTATCAGCTGTTCACTGTGAGAGGCCAGGCCAAGTGTCCTGTGTGCTCCAACCACTGCAGCTCAGGGACAGGGCTCCAAATGAACCATGCTCAGGGCTGTTTGAGTCACTGTTGTTCTGCCCAGTGCTGCAGAGTCCTTTGTGTCTGGGATGGCCCCACAGCTTCCTGCACTGCATCCTGCACCGGGGCGTCTCTGGGCAGAGCTCAAGGACGTTCTCCAGACCCCACATTTGTTCTGATGTTTCCAGCTCACTCCTTTGAGGGCTCAGTGCTGGTGTGTGTGAGCACTGACACCCAGGAGCGGAGTGACACCGAGCAGAGTCTGCCTCTGCCCAGACAGAGAGAAAAGGAAAAGGGCTTCAGGTGGTTCTGACACCTGGAATGGGAGGGGGAGAATCTCTGTTTTGAGCAGTACGGCACTGCAGGGTCTGCTCAATCGCAGCCTCGTGCAGTTGTGCCCTTTCTTGGCATGTAACAATTGGTTGTTGGCTTTTGGTGCTGCTCCTCTTAGGAGAGGCAATGGAACAAGGATTACGAGACTGCTGCAGGTCGATCCGCATTGGGAAGATCCTGATACAGAGCGACGAGGAGACGCAGAGAGCCAAAGTGTACTACGCCAAGTTCCCACCAGACATCTACAGGAGAAAGGTTCTGCTCATGTACCCAATACTCAGTGAGTGTCTGTTCCGTGCAGTTCGACTCGTCCGGACAGGGAGGACGTGGAATTGAAAGGGAAATTGCCAAATTTCAGGGGCTTTGATGAGGTTTTGTCCTTGGTTTAGGTGCCATAGCAGGGAATGTGTCAGGCTGTGCCAGAATACGTGTTAGCCAGCCTGCACCAGCATGAATGCAGAGCAGATCACCTGGGCATGCCTGTGTTTGTGAGAAAGGCTGCAGCATCAAGACTTGGTATCAATTTAACTTTTTAATATGTTCCATGAGAAAAGACTCAACCCATATTTTTCTCATGCTATTAAAAGACATTTTTGGATTAGTATTAGAATCCTAGAAGTAAATTACTTTAGAGTACAGTTAATACTACCAAAAAACCCATAATCTGGTAAGTGTGGTGAGGAGTTTGTCAGGATGAAGTAACTTTTCCAGGGTAAGATTTAATTCTGGTTCTACACATGGAGCTCTTAATTGCTATTTTACTATTTTAGATGAGCTTTCTTGCCTCGGGGCTTTAATCAAATCCACTGCCTTCAGTGCCCAAACCCAGCAGAGCTGTTTCAGAGTAGGGATGAAGTTCCTTCATCAGGATACCAAACTCTTCTACAGTTAATACGTGCAGAGGTGATAGCTCTGCAGTGGGAAAGGATGGTGTTGTCATTCAGTCACACCCCAATGTGAGCACGGATGTCCTCGGGTGGCTGAGGACAAGTTCTCCAACAAGGGGAGAGGGGAGATACTAAACAGATCATTGTTTCCCCTTTCAGGTACTGGCAATACTGTCATTGAGGCTGTCAAAGTTCTTGTAGAACATGGCGTACAACCAAGCATCATTATCCTGCTCAGCCTGCTCTCCACACCTCATGGCAAGTTGGGGCTTTCGCCTTCTTGAAAGATGCCAAATTTATCATCCAGGAATTCCCTTTTTAATGACAGATGTTCACCCTGTTCTACCAACACACTCTGGACGGAAGTATGTTAGAACAGACTGACCCAGTCAGGATAAACAAATGTGACTCTATGACATTACAAGAGTTTCTTCATATGTTTTATTATTGTGGAGTTGAATGAGGGTATGTTTAAAAATCTTTTTGACCAAAGGGGGAAATACTTGCCTTGGGTTGGTTCTGGACAGTTCCAGCCTGAACACCAAATCAGGTATAGTAACAAAGCACTCCATCATTACAGTCAAGCATTAATGCTAGGGTTGTATAAACTGCTGCACTCTCTGCTTTAGCTTGTTTATTCTTTCATAGCCTGAAGTTTGGGGCTGCCTTGAAGAACAAACACACCTTGTGTCTTCAGCTGACACTGTGCTCCTGGACACGCACCTTTCACTGCAGCTCTGCCCTCAGCCTGACCCATGTGATGCAGAGGAACCTGCCCAACTGTGCCATGGCACTGGAATGCAGCACACATAGTGTAAGTGCAAGGCACAGCGTAAGGATCTCGCCTTTAAGTCAGCAGCAGAAGCTAAAATGGAGCTTGTTCAGTCACTCAGACACGTGGGTTTCTCACATGTTCTTCTGCCTCATTTTGATTTTGCATTTGTTTCCTGGTTCATTCTGGAGCTTTCAAACCCCGATGTGTGACTGTTGATGTGAAGCGGTTCTGAAGCTCTCAAACTATTTATTGTTTCTACCTGGACCAAGTGAGATGGAGCTGCTGTTAAGGAAAGGGGAGAATCAGCCATAACTAATTGCAAATAACATCCCTAAGTCACTCAGAAACCTTTAAAGCTGTTTCTAACTCTGAGCCATAGAGCTGTGCTACCATAAAGACATCTGTTTTAACAGTAAGACAAAAACGGATCCTCTACTGCCTGCTGAGCAGTGCTGCAGGCAGCAGGCAGGGATGCTGCCTGTGCATCTTGTAGGCAGCTCTTGTGCTGCTGCTGCCTGGCAGAGACACAGCACTGGAACAATGACATGGCTGTGACCAGAACCAAATCCAGACAGGGCACAAGAACCTGCTCAGAGAATCCACATGGCTTCAGACACAGCTCATACTCCTACCTTAAAACCACCCTTCAGCTAACAGGATGAAATGGGAGGTCACCAGATCATCTTCCTGTTTCTGTATACGAGGAACTGAGTTTTAAAAGGCACAAATGGCACCTCTGTGGGTGCTAAATTCCTACACATTTCCTATTGTGTTTAGCTGCCATCCTCCTCTCACCAGCCCCCTCCAGAACATGTTTTGCTAGCAATGAGGTGATTAATTCTACTGCATCTTTCATCAAACACAGCTTAGGGTCCTCCACGAGATTAACATTAGAAATGCAGGTTTAGGTGGGTAAGACTGAGGCACTGGAACAGGCTGCTCAAGGAAGTTGTGAATGCCCCATCCCTGGCAGTGTTCAAGGCCAGGCTGGACAGAGCCTTGGGTGACATCGTTTAGTGCCCATGGCAGGGGGCTGGAACTAGATGATGTTAAGGTCCTTTCTAACCCTAACTGATAGCGGTAACTATTCTATGATTCTATGCTTGAGGTGTTGGAGCATGCCCAAAGACCAGTGAAGCTGGTGAAGGGTCTGGAGAACAAGTCTTACAAGGAGAGGCTGAGGGAACTGAGGTGTTCAGCTGGAGAAGAGGCTCAAGGGAAACCTTACTGCTCTTTGCAACTGCCTAAAGGTTGTAGTGTGGTGGGTGTCAGTCCCTTCTCCTAGGTATCGCTATATGACACAAGAGGGAATGGCCTCAATATTCCTTACAAAATAAACTTTTCAGGCTTTAAAATGGGATCTCTCAGAACACTGTGGGAATCCCTTCCATCCTCTATGGGAGACAAGTCTGGACAGCCGCAACCCTTCCCTCTCCTCAAACTAGCACTGACACCCAGTATGGCACAAGCCCCCTTGGGTTCAAAGCTGAGACTGTAGGGTTTTTTCTCTCCTGTTTCTATGTACTTTCAGCCAGTTTCCTTCCCACTGGGTGTTTCAAATTCCTGTCCTCTTTTCTCTGCTGGGATGCCATTAAGGAGATGTTCCACCCCTGGAGGACGGATGCCATTTGTAGTTTCAGTGGCAAGAGGAACTGCAGGAAAATTTCGCTTAAGAGCCACCCTTACAACACACTTGTAGTCCAGTGTTAATTCAGTGTTTTACAGAAAACAAGAGAATCTTGCCCTTTATACAGCCCGACAGTTGGCTTTAATACACAACACACACATCTGCAGCAGAGAACACCACGTCGTGGTTACAGGGCAAGGAAAGTGTTCCCACCAACTCACTGCCACTTTTCAACTCGCCCTTTATAACCCTTGCCCACCCCCGCCCTGGGCGCTGGCGCCTCTGCCCCCCACGCGCTGAGGTGACGTGAAATGGCCCCGATACTGCCAGGCCCCACCGTTGTTGCGCTGTAACGGCCCCACGGGCGGGCCCCGCCCAGCGCCGGCACACTCCGCACCACCTCGGGGCAGCGGAAGCCCCATCAACCAGTCCCCCGCAGCCCTCGGCCTGCAGCCCTCGCCAAAATGGCGGCGACTCCGAGGCTGCTGTCACCCCGCGATCCTCCGCACCCCTCTCGTTGGACGCCGCTGCTCCTCCTCCTTCCTTCCCCCCATCCCCGTCCCACTCCTCCCATCCCGCAGGGGGCGGTGACGCCTGCGCAGACGTGTGTGCGCCTTCACTTCCTTTTTGCCGGCGGCCGCTTCCGGGCCCCCGTTCCTTGGTAACAATGGAGCAGAAAATGGCCGCCTGAGAAGGGAGGGAGGGCGACGTTGCGGCTGTTCGGGGACGGACGGAACGGGGCGAGCTGGGACTGAGCCCGCTGAGGAGCGGGGAGAGCAGCGGAACGAGCGCTGGGGAGGCGGCGGCGGGCGGTGGCGGCGGGCGGTGAGTAGTGAGGCCCAAGGCGAACTCTCAAAATGGCCCGGAGGAGGGAGAGGCCCAGGCCCAGGGGAGGCGGCTGCGGCCCCCGCCCGGAGCCGGGGTGGGGGCAGCCGGGGGTTGTGGGGCCCCTCTGCCCCTACCCTGGGTCCTCGCCGTGCGGGCTGCGGGGTCCCGGGCAGCGCAGGGCGGTTCCTGGCTCCGCTGGGCTCGGGAGGCCGAAGCCGCCCCGCGGCAGAGGCGGAGCGGGTGCCGTGATGGAGCTGGCGGCGGTGATGGCGGTCTGGGCGCGGGTGTGCCCGGGGCACTGCGGGGATCTTCGGCCCCGTCTCACCCAGATGTGCCGGGCTTTGTCACCCTGGGCGCTTTTTCCAGTTCTCCCGGGGTGTGTGGCAGGGCCTCCCGCCGGAGCGGGGCGAACCTGTTCCTCCATTTGGAGCTGGAGGAGGGTTTGCGCTCCCCCTCCGAGAGGGCTGCTGGGCCCCTCACTCTCTAGGCATCTGGTTGGGCTGGAGGAAGAATTGAAATTAGCCCCTTTTCGGAGGGGTAGAGTGCTTGGGGGAATTATAGGCACTGCCTTGAGCCTCTCTATACGACTCAGTGCCTACTTAAGGAGTTGTAGCTTTTCAGGGTGGTGTTTTCAGGCTGTTCCCTTGAGTTGAGACGTGAAGTCTTCTTGTGGGACACAGGCAAGAGGAGCCCTTAGCATGTTCTGTTGTGATGGTCGTGATCAGCTTGGAACCGGTTAAAACCCGTGATGTTTGCTACTCCTGCCCTCTGAGTTTCTAGTTAATCACGTCATCTTTGCTCTGTCATCTTAGTTTCCTGTGCAAGTTGTTCCTTCCCTTTTTAATACTGTTTATTGACAGTCAAGGTTTCTGTTTACTGTGTTTTCAACATCATTGTCAGGTCCATCTAGATGTATGTATTATTCTATCTTCAGTGATTTACTTTAGTAGATGAGCAGTATCTGGTTGTATATAATTGTGTGTGTGTATATATATATAATGTTGCTATTAAGGTTTGTTATGTGTTTTTATTTTAGTGTGTAGTAGAAGGAGCCTGACAAAAGGTGTCACAGCAAAAGATACAGGGTTGTTTTTTTATTTCACCATTTTTCAGGAAGATAGAGTCTTTATACAGAGAAGCTTGTAAGCTAGAATTCAGACTCAATTGTACCCAGCAGTACCATCACACAGCTCGTTTATTTTCCCTGTTCATATGACCAGAACTGGTTAGTTTCAATTTGAAAATGGTTGTCAGAATGCTAAAGAAGCTCTGACACCAGTTTGCCCCTGAATTTCAATTGCAGTGATTTGTCAAGCCTTTTCTTTTTACTTTTTTCTTTAACTAAACAGTTGGCTGTTTCTTGTGCATTTAATTGTCATAATTGGAAGTCAGAAGCTTAGTTTTGTTGTAGTGGTCAACTCTAGCAGTTAAACAGACTGTATTCCCTCCACAGGTTTACCAGTTTGGAATTAAAGGATTTATAGCTTGGAATTATGGCTTGCCGGCTCCTAACAAGAGCAAGCACACCATATGTTATAAAATTAAGGGTTTCTTGTTACGTTAGACCACTAAAGCTCAACAACTACAGTGTTATCTTTATCAGCAATTCTGACTACATGGATGTTTGTCACTGAAGTAACCACACCAGCATTTTTCAAGCGTGTAGTGGTTGTAATCTGTATCATGTTTATTTTCCCTATTACTGTATTCACAGACATGCCCAAATGTACTGGAAAGCAGTGTTACAAGTTCTGGAATCTCCATTACATGTCTTTTTCCTTTCCTCAGTTTGTACTGGTATTTTTAGGGGGATTGAGAGTGTGATTCTTAATTTGAAATGGTTTCAAAACACCCATATATTAATGTATCTGCCTACCTTGTTCCTTTATTTCTCTTCTCTTTGGGAATATAGCAAAATACATTCCTTAATCTTAGTAGAATGCTTGTAATTGCTGTGGAGGTGGTGTACTACTTTTTTTACAGCCATAACATAGCATTATAACTTCATATACTTGAGTTTAAAGATTGTGCTTAAGTCCAGTTTAATACGTCTTAACATGTTACTGGACTGTTCTGATTTTTTTTTTTTGTGGAGAACTCAGTTTCCATGTACTAAAACTTTGAAATCCCCAAACCTAAATTATCAGCTGTTTATCTAAGGTTTTGCAACTTAATCTCAGTTTTGAGTACTTGCCATCTCCTGAGCTCACAGAAATGAACCTTGGAAGGGATAAACCCAAACATGACTGCCTCCTTCTTCAAGATAATTTTATGATGGCCTTGTGCATCTCAAACAATACTTCTAAACAGTGTAGCAGCTTCAGAAGTTAGTCAGAAGCTTCAGATGGTGAGCACGTATAGCCAGAAGCATTGCAGAGACTTTACTTAGCTTTTGCATGGGTTCCTGGCTGCAGTTAAAATCGTAAGAAGCACACAAGCCTGTGTCTCCTTTAACCTGTTTAGCTTTACATTAATGAGGTATGTGTTATTAACTTTTTGCTGATGTGCAGTATTTAAGCTCAGCTTTTTAGGGAGGTCTGCAGAGTCATATGGTCTCATAAAACCATCTAACAATAAATGAATATGGAAAAGTCAGCTCACATTTTCTCTTAATTTAGTAACTTAAAAACATTTTGCTTGGAGCACTCTCAATTTCAATATGCAAGATGTGTGTGCACGTAGTCATGTTAAAATGCTTGAGCTTTCCTGCCTTGGTATATCATCAGAAATTGAATACTTTAATTCAAATAAATTTTTGCTTAATTTGATTTTCTGCTCCTCTATTGGGCACTAGACCTCAACAACCAAAATCCATGTATCGGAATTCCTGTGTGGGTTGTGGTTGCAGTGATTGTCAATATCATACCAGCATTTTGCTTTCAGTAGTAGCTGTATTAGCAGCAGTGTTGTGGAGATGGTGAGATTTGGCAGTAAATTTAAAAGTGGGGGGTTCTTTTCTAATTGAAACTCAGTTATGGTTGGCTCAGTGCTTTCACTAAACTAAACTTTCTGTTTCTTTAGAAGTCAGAGCAGTGCATGCTGGTCACTGTATAGTTTTGTGGGTACAACTTCCTTTGGTATCAATCTTCTTTATACCACTGGCTTTCAGTATCAACACTGATTACTTGCGTGCTCCATTACTTCTTCCTTTGAGCTTCAGAGTGGCCTTTCTGCTTGCTGGCCTGGAAGAAAGCTCACTTCTGGTGGAAAAGAGCATCATTTTGTGAGACTCCAGTTCTGGAAACTTGCTACATCTTGTGTACACACTAAGCAGATTATCTGAATTTAAAGGCAATAGGTAGTACTATCTGAATTTTATTTTCAACTTGCATGTGAAAAAGTGTTTTAGTAAGTGCAGATGCTAATGTGAAGCCCTGCATTTTGGCAGTTCTTAGTGCATTTATTTTCAGAGCTCCATCTTCATTCCACATGGGCTCAGTGTTCTGGGATTGCTGAGCTTTACCCTTTCATACAGAAGATAAAATTGGAAAACTGTAATGAGCTTTCTTTGGTTTATAACTAGGTCTTTTTGAGTTGGGAATTTATACAGCAAGTTGCCTGCTGTGCTTTAGATGCTGTGGGACTGTTGGAGAGTGCTGGGATTCTGTACTCCTGATTTCTTCACTTTCTGACTTCTCAGGAGTGTTTCTCTTCATCTCAACAGTTGGTTCCCTTGAAATGTTTTCCTTCCTCTTTTTATTCTGTGGAGTTTTCTGCAACTGTTCTGCAAAAATATTCAACTCCTTTCTATTGTTTAAAATTTAGGTTCAGAACTATATCTCGTTTTAGGGCTTTTGCTTTGAAACATACTGGGGTAGTGAAATAGCTTGAGTCCATGTTTAACACTCCTTGCTAAGCTGGCATTTAAATTCTATAGCAGTTTATATGGAACACTATATAGAAGACAATTCCTTTCTAGCTTTTCAAAAGTGCTACATATTCCATGATATTTTTTGAGGCAAAGAGGACATAGTTCTTGAGTGTTTTAAAATACAGTAGAAATCTAGTAAGAGTATCGATACTGTTCATCTGAGTGTCAATACAAAACAAGAACAGCAGGAAAAGAAAGAGTGTATCCAAAATTCACAATGTAGCTTTGAAAACTAGAAAAGTTTGTTACTTGTTACTGTTTTAAAGATGTAGGTGAGTAAATTATACCTGTGTTGGCAAAGGCTTTGTTGTGCTCATGAAAGGAAACTTGTGCACCTGTACAGAAATTAAAAATCAACAAACCAAACTTGACATAATGAAGCTCCATGTATAATGCAAATACTTCACTGTTTCATTTCACTGGTTTATGGAATCTTTTTCCTTTAATGACAGGGTTCACTGACAGTCAGGTTTTTCTCCTGCTTTTGAGCTTGCAGACTTGAATGATGAAATATTCAAGATGAAAATGTAGTTTCTGTAATGTCTTTCTGCTGGTTTTGAGTATTGAGGAACTGGATGCTGACTGACACGGAAACTATTTTTCAACTCGTAGTTCTAGGATAACCTAGTAGTTGTGAGGTGGGGTGGCTCTGATGAACACTGCACATACAGCTGGTTCTGTTTAAGCATAAAGAACCCAAAGTAACAGAACTGCCTGTTCTGGCTGCTGTTCTGATGTCATTTGAGAAATGGAATTGGAGAGAGTGCTGCGGCTGGTCCTGCCAAACGGGATGGTATGTTAGAGCTGCTGAAGTCAGAGTTCATGGAAAGTGCTTCAAAGAGACAGCTGTGTTGTACTTCTGCTGTAGAGCTAAAATGTCTTTGAGTTATTAAGTTTAGTGAAAGCAGGGAAGGGGAAAAAATAGTTAATCTGCAACAACCCAAACCAGAAAATAAGTATTTCTGGCTTCCACTCCTGAGTCACTTCTTGTAGTCAAAGGGTTTGATAATTTCGGCAGACTGGAAGTAAGCAAGGTGCTCTACCGGTTGAAGTACCTAATTATGATGAAGTTATGAATCATAAATGAGAAATTAGCCTTCTGCTGAGCACATCTATGAAACACTCATATTGCCCTCATCTTTTTTGTTTATGCAAAGGTAACTATGTTGCTGAAACAGGAGGTGATTCAGGCAGCATTTCTAACATACAGCACGCTACAAATTCTCACGTAACATTGAAATACCAGTAACACCTAGATGGGGAGTTCTAGAGGAAGTTACAGGCAGCGCATGAGTGTTTGAGTTGTTTATGCTATTTAATTCAGTGTCTTTATCCTGTTAGAATTTGAGTCTTGCCCCATAAATCTCATGATGGTTTCTAATTTCTAGGTATTGCTTTTTCTAATGTCTAGGTATTGCTTTCCATTTAACCGTGCAAATGAGGGGTTTTTGAGTTTGACACATCTGGTAAGTGTTACCTAGTTAGCTGAATGAGAGTTTTAATGTTACACGTAATCCTTGTTTTAATTAAAAAAATCAGCAGTGCAGGCTAAAGCAGTGTCTTGGTGTTTGATAAAGATAACTGATAGCGGGAGATATTACACATTTTTGAAGGAGGAAGAGCTAGTGATTTATCACTGTGCCTCATGGTCCATTAGTACTTTTCTGGGAAGAATTCTGCAGTATGGAGATACAGGGTTATTGTTGAAGGTAAACGGGTAACATGAGTAAGTTACCACTGCTTGCTGTCCTACTAGGTTGGTTTTAAGCTGTAGTAAATTCCTGATGGGTTGGATTTAGTTTACACATGACTTGTCATAAGGGAAAATAGAAAATATTTATTGTACTTTATTGAAGGGGTATCTGGTACTTTATTGAAGGAATAAGTAGTATTTTATTGAAGGAATATCTAGTACTCTTTTAAGTTTTTCCTTTCCAAATAAGCATAGTATTACTTCCTTTTGAATAAAAGAATGTAACAAACATTATGTTTTGTGGGAGTACTGGTTTAGCTCCTGAAGTCTCTAGCAGCAATGGAGAGACATCTGGTCATTTGTGCTCTGAAATCTCTGAGATTGTTAATGCATAACTGCAGGGAAGATATTTTGCTGACTTGTGGAAGGATGGGAGCACCAGTTAAGAATTCACTGTAGTTAATGTGTTTGGATATTCAGCTGGTGAAGAATCTTCCCTCTCTCCTTTTTATTTTATTGAATAAAATTATTTATTCTAGTTGTGATTCACTTGTTTTCTACAACCTTTAGGCAATTCCCCCTGTTTTTCCATAAAGAGGTTTTCATCACCTGATGTCCCAGCTGAAGTTGGCGGTAATCAGCAGATCTGGACTTCCTGCTCATAGACATGACCTTCCCCACCCTTTGTCAACTCACTGCTGACAAGGAAGGACAGTAAAGAAGGAAATCGTGACTCTTTTAACTTGGCTAAGAACAAAGTCTTCCTCTGAGTTGAACTAAACCCTTAGGAGAAACAGAGTTGAAGCATACCTGCTTATTAGATAATCAAATCTTGGTTGCTGTGTTGTAAGGTAATAGTATACTTGTTGGGTTTCCCTGTGTTACTGTAGTTGGCTTCCTTAAGACGGTCTTAATTTTCTGCTGTGTATGAGCTGAGAGCAGACTCCTGAGTGAGGGACATGTTATTTCACAGTACTGTACCATGGTGAAATAGGAAGGAGGTGATACAGTAACTGCCACCATGGAGATCCCGTGCTACAGCCAGATGGGATCTGTGGAGTCATGCTGAGGCAGTAGTAGTCTAAATATTCTAGTAAGTTCAGTCTGGTAGAGTAGAGCTCTGCAGTGATGTGAGGGGTGAGTGAAGCTTAAAAAGGACAATGAGCTAAGTGGACAGTGAAAAGACAGAAGGTAGCAGAAGCCTTGAGGCAGATTGCTGTCAGTAGTAAGTTAGGGAGAAGGTGCTGATGCACATACACGTGTTTCTGTATTTCCATTGTGTAAACATCCCATATAGTTTCATTGCATTCCTAGGACATTGAAACTAAACAGCATGAAATTGGGGTATGGTGGGGGAGTGTAATTATTACAGAAGCTTGCAAAAGGAAAACACAGTGAGTTTGTCACTAGTGAAAATAGTTGTAATGTAAAATAAATTCTTAATCTAAGAGCCTACTAGTGGAGCTTTTTTCTTAGCAATAGCATCTTTTCAGTCTTGACCAAGAGCTGATCTTATGGTTCAGGGGGAAGAGCTGAGATGGTGGAGGAGAGAAGAGGAGCAAACTTGTAAATCAGTAAGACTGACTTACTCTGAGCATTTCCTAAAGCATCACCTATTAAAGTGTACATCACTCTGGGGGTAAAGAAGATACTTATTTCCCCACGCACACATACTTTACTTGTTCTGAAGCTTCTTTAGAAACTCCTGTTTTCCATGACCAGGAATGGTGCCCCTTAATTTTCTGAAATGGAATAGGCAAATGTATTTGAATCCAGTAGGCATTACATAGTTAAGGTGCCTGCAAGCACTGGAATTTGCAGTTAAAAGGAAAATTTCATAGCATAAGCAGTAAACGAATGTCATGCTTTGTGTGCATAGCGCGGTTTTCTTTCTTAAAAGCTGTTGTAGAGTTAGTCTAATGCTTACAAATATGTTAATACTGCCATCTTTATGAAGACATTCTATGTGTTTTCAAGTCAGTAAATACCAAGGTGGCAGTCACTCGGGGGAAAATATTTTACACAACTTTATGCTGCTTCCATCCCTTAGCATCTTAATACATTCCCTTATTTTCTTAATCTTACTGTCAGCCTTTTTTTTTATTGTTGCGCTAAAAAAGGGGATGCTGGTTAGTTTTGATGTATATCCCTGGAGAACTCGTATGTCTTTCAAGGTTTCAGTTTAGATGAGAGCCTCACTCTACTTACGGCTTTATTCAGCTGTTTCCTTTAAAAACAGCTGTCTTTGTGTTTCTAGTGTCTTCTTGGAATGACTGTGTCTTTAAATGAAGTTACTTGGAATCATAATTCTGTTACAGAAAGCTTGTAAAAAGTTGTTTGAGTTTCAAGCCAAGCTATGTTCTCATTAGAAATACATCTGAGATTTGAAGGGCATACACATTCCATCGCTGAGCCCAGTCAGAGCTGAACGTACCTGCTGAAACCATTGCACAACTTCCACTGTGAGAGGGCTCATTTATCAGTGTATTTGACAGCACGTCACATGCGAGTCTTCAGACAGGCCATGACATCTTCAGATTGCACTAGAGATTTAGGCGTGCAGAGAAAGCTGATAGGCTTCCAGTTTAAACAGTAGCAACCCTAGAGATTGCTGCTGCTTACTGATAAAAAGGTCAGAAATAAGCCTAATTGGTAAAATGACAGAAATTCATATAACCAAGTAACACCAGTAGCCTTGCAAACTGTGTTACTGAGTGGCAACAGGTCACTTATGCTGTAGTGTGACTAACTCAAAAGTGAGTTTTACTATGTCAGAATTGAAGACATAGAGGGTTGGAGCAGCTATTTTATAATTTACACATCTGCAGTAATGAGATGCCCCATCCTCTGGAATTCTTGTACTGTTACATACTGAGGTTTTCAGTGCACTTTAATTTTCTCAATAACAGCTGAAATAAAGTGCCCCTGGAGAGCGTGTGGTGCTGCTCTTCTGTGGAGAAGCACTAATATAAACTGTGGGCAGTCTTGACTTGACAGCTGTGCTGACAAACCCAAAAAAGATGCTTTTTGCACTAGACAGATGTCGAAGTGTTGGAAATGTTCCAGTGAGAAACAGAAAAGCTTTATTCTTCCAGTATCTTTGTGTCACATGAAGTATGGTTTAAATGAAAGGAATGTTTTCTGATGGGGAATGTTATTGCAGAGCTTTTTAGCATGCAGAGGATTAGCTTGCTAATCACCTCTCTGAGTAACTAGATTCTACCAGTTGTAGGGGAAAATTCTTGATGTTGTGAATAGCGAGGCATAGTGATTAAGGAAACTAGTTATTATTTTAACTTCATTTGATATATTTGCATAGTGCAGCTAGTGCCAGAATGTCTCCTGCTTTGCATGTCTTTTGTTGGAATATTTATCCAATATCGACATGGCATTCATCAATAATTTTTTTGAGACATTGTCACGTATCTTATGCAAATGAAAACCAAGGAGGATAAGGTTATAATTAAAAAGATGGAATACAGAAGGCAGCTCTTTATATTGGGAGTTATATCTGGTGTAAGCTGTGGAGTTCCGTCCTGAAAATTTTAGTTAGCAATATTAATAATTCAGTAAATGTTGAAACTTGCAAGCAAATTCTTCTCCTGACTTTATAAAGTTGGTTTTAGAAACCCTTTTCCTTTTTTGAGGAAATGAATAGGACACATGATGTTTCATAGCAGCTTCATCTTCTGTATTTGAATTCTTCATAAACCCCTTCATTCTGTTAAAATTCACTTGGATGGTGAAGAGGGTGTTTGTTTTAGCAGGTAGGAAGAAGCAATAAATGTATAATCCCATGCTCTTTTAGAGGGTATGATCAAGGATGGCTTATGCCTTGTATTGGTATGGCACTGTAAGGCATGCTTTGAGAGGCAATTGCAGTGTTAGGGATATTGTGTGCTAAAAAGCAGTGTCATGGACACCAAGTCAACTAAGTAAATGTAAAGATGGGACTAAGGGTTATGGCATATTCCATGTGTTCATACTTCCTGCTTTATTGATGGGCACAGATTTTTGTTTGTAATTCATTAAGAGGTTTATGCTTGGAGAATGATTTCATTTTTCATCCCTTGCAGTTATGCATCTCATCTTAACTGAAGCTTCATTAATAACCTACTTCTCCCCCCAGTTTAAGGATAACAATTAAGACTGCAGTACAGAGTAAATAGGCCAAAATTCCATGCCAGTATTTCACTACACTGGATAAAGGGTTTGTTTTCTCCTTTTTAGGTACTCTTCCACTCATCAAGATGGAAAGCTCTGATTCCAGTGATAAAGGGAATATCGATCAATCGGAAGCACAGCGTCAGAGGCAGCTGGATCGGTTAGATCGAGAAGAAGCTTTCTATCAGTTTGTAAACAACCTGAGTGAAGAGGACTACAGACTTATGAGAGACAACAATTTGCTAGGAACACCAGGTAGGTAATGCTTGTGTGTGTACATTTGCAAGGATTGCTTGTAGATGATTTGTGTCATTTTCTGTTTTCCTGAAACTGTTTCACCCATTTAGTTTGTGTGCTGCAGTTGTGTTCCATGGGAGGAAGTAGCTTCTTGCTGATTTGCGTATATTCACATTTGAGTGGTCCCCTGACTATTGGAGAGGTAGTCAGGATGATGTGGGTTCATCAGATAAAAAAGCCTAGTGTTCACACAACTTGGTGGGAGCACCCAGAGTTGTTCCAGTTGTGGACCCTTGGACATTTTTGATTGAAAAGTAATCTCCCATAAGCATCTATGTAAAAGTTTTGTGCTGGTGAGTTAAGAGTTTGTAACTAGGGTAAGTAGTCTGGTGTGAGATTCTGCATGGGCATTTTAATGTCAGTTTTCAATTGACTTAATACTTTAAATTGACTCTTTATATACCCAATTCAAACTAGCTCTAATTTAAAACATTGCTTGAACTAACCTAAAATTTTTCCATGCTTCTGAAGGTGTTATTTTAAATGCTTTACTCTGGACAGCCATTTAATTGGTATAGGATGACAGCAGTTGCTAACAAGTTGTAGAGGTTACAGAACCAGAAAGCACATCTGTCTTGAATAGGTTGAAACTGTTGGATCTTTCCACTTCAGCAAAACTTACTTGGGACAGTCGTGCTGAAGTGTCGGAACTTCCCCTTAGCAACCTGCTTGGCAGTCTCATTATGGCAGGATTTAATTAGACAAAAAGACAAGCAGTGGCTTGTACCTTCTGTAGAACCTTTTGATAATGCTTGCCATACATATGATTTGGAAATATTTTTGGAAAATTTTGCTTATTTTCTAAGGTGAAATTACTGAAGAAGAGTTGCTGAGAAGGCTACACCAAGTTAAAGAAGGTCCGCCACAGCAAAACAGTGATGAGAATAGAGGTATATACAGTATTTGTGAAAACTCTTAACTTTAGCACCCCATACGGACCTTAACTTGAGTGCAGGAGTGGAACAAGTTAAGCCTAGGCAGGTGCAAGGTGAGCTTTGGTTTGGAACTAAGTGAACGGTATGTCTGATACCTGCTGCAGAGGTCAGTTTGGGACAGATTTCACTCATAATGCATCTGTTACTGGTATCAAGATAAAGTTTTATTTAGGTTTGGTTTTGTTTTCTTTCAGTTTTTCTTTTTTGTTTTCAAAGGTTGTCTTCCTGTGTGCTCCCTTCTGGGATGCTCGTTGGCAATCCTTCTCTTTTTAGTCACCATTCTGCCCTTCCAAAGGTGCTACATTGCTTTTATCCCCCTTCTATAGAGATCGGTGGAGGACGCTTGGAGCTTACCACTGGGGTTCATTCTTTGATGAGATAGATTTGCTATAAAGCTATTCTTCAAGTGAAGGGTCAAGATAAACTTTAATTGTCTGTTTAGCGGTTGATAGATCATCTAATTGTCTGGAAAGGAAAACACAGAATATTGATGTGTTAAGACACCCGAAATGTGACTTTCCATTCATTTAATAATAGACAGTGTGTTATTTTGATGACTTGCTTGCTATGTGGTGGCCGCAGCCTATCTGTACTTACTACAAAAATGTCCACTCCTGCTCCCTTAAAAGAGCTCTGGTAGCTAAGAATTGTAATGCTGCGTGTGAAACCACAATAGCACTTGATAGGATTAAGCACTTCTAAATTGTCACTTGTTAAACTAAGCAATTACGTTCTTGGAAAAGATAGCTCTAAAATTAGCTCAGTACTCTAATGTTGGTAGTTCCCTGTCTTTTTCACAGGTGCAGAGTCCGCGGAAGATGTTTCAAATGGAGATTCTATAATAGACTGGCTTAATTCAGTCCGACAGACTGGAAATACAACACGAAGTGGGCAACGAGGAAACCAGTCTTGGAGAGCAGTGAGCCGGACTAACCCCAATAGTGGTGACTTCAGATTCAGTTTGGAAATAAATGTCAACCGTAATAATGGGAACACAAATCCAGAAACTGAGAATGAGCCATCTGTAGAGCCTTCCAGTGGGGAGGATTTGGAAAACAGCCAAAGTGACTCTGAAATTCCAAGGTCCGAATCACCATCTGTAAGGCAGCCTGGATCAGAAAGGAGCACTTCAGAGGAGCTAACAACTGAGGAAGCTTCTCCTCCTAGAGGGCAGAGGAGAGCAAGAAGTAGGAGTCCAGAACAGCGGAGAACGCGGGCTAGGACTGATAGAAGTAGGTCACCTATTAATCCAGTTAGTGAGACTCCTCGCAGGTCTCATCACAATACATCATCTCAAACACTTGACCACTCCTCAGTGAATGAAGTCGAGGGAAGCTCTAGAACTAGGCAGCATGTGACTTTAAGGCAGCATACAGTGGGGACTGAGATGCCAAGTGAAAATGCAGTTCTGTTTTCAACCCCTGAAACAAGACCTGTTCCTCAAGCAGCAGGCTCTTCAGAAACTAACGGTACCAGTGAGTCTGCAGCTCCTGGGCAGAGGCCTCCTACCATAGTGCTTGATCTTCAGGTCAGAAGAGTTCGTCCTGGAGAGTATCGGCAAAGAGACAGCATAGCCAACAGAACTCGGTCCAGGTCCCAGACACCCAACAACACCGTCACCTACGAAAGTGAACGGGGAGGGTTTAGGCGCACGTTTTCACGTTCAGAAAGGGCTGGAGTGAGAACTTACGTCAGTACCATTAGGATTCCAATCCGTAGGATCTTAAATACAGGCTTGAGCGAGACTACATCAGTTGCTATTCAAACTATGCTAAGGCAGATAATGACAGGCTTCGGAGAGTTGAGTTATTTTATGTATAGTGATAGTGATGCAGACCCTAGTGGCCCAACTCCAAATCAGAATGTGGATGCTTCTGAGCCACAGAATGGAGGTGGTGGTACTTCAGGCAATGAAAGTACAGATGTTAGCTCAGGAGAGGTGTATGAAGGTGGCAATGAAGGTGGTTCAACATCTGGTGCCAGGCGGGAAGGTCGGAATACAAGGGGTTCAGTCACATTTGAAGAAAGTGGTTCTTTACCATTCCTTAGCCTAGCACAGTTTTTCCTACTAAATGAAGATGACGATGACCAACCAAGAGGACTCACCAAAGAACAAATTGACAACCTAGCAATGAGGAATTTTGGTGAGAGCGATGCTCTGAAAACCTGTAGTGTGTGTATTACCGAGTACACGGAAGGCAACAAGCTCCGGAAGCTGCCTTGTTCGCATGAGTATCACGTCCACTGCATTGATCGCTGGTTATCAGAGAATTCCACTTGTCCCATTTGTCGCAGAGCAGTCTTAGCTTCCGGTAACAGAGAGAGTGTTGTCTAAATGAGATCTGGATTTATGGCCAAGCAGCTAGTGTGATAGTGATGGGCAAAGAAGTCACTTCCTTTATGGCCACTTTTTGAGTGGTACCTCAGTGTATAATAATGACTTGGAGTGAATCTTCCCTCATGAAAGCATTTTCTCTGGATTCAAGCTTTTAAAATTGGAAAGTTTCTTTAATTAGAGTTTTCGAGATTTAGTCAGTTTGGGTGTTAAATTTCACTTGTCCAAAGACATCTACTCACTTTTTTTTTCTTTGTGAAGAGTATTAAGTTCTTTCTCCCACCCAGCCCCTGCCATCCCAGTCCAATAAACATTATGTCCTCTAGATTGTGCTTATGAGGAGTTCTTTGAGAAGTCATCCCAGCTAAATGTACTTGAGTCAAGGAGGAGTTTTTGCAAGAAATCCAACTATCTGAAAGAATGTGAACTTAATTGCACACTTGAACCTACTTTTAAGTTTCATCCTGGGTTGATATTGGACATGTCTGTAAATAACACTAATGTTAGTTAGCCCTTTCCCCATCACTATGACACGCTGTAGGATGAGCTGTTAGCTTAACTGGGATATTTATCTTGTTGTGGAAATATAAGAATTGCCTATGCTTGTTTAAATAAAGAAGAAAAAAAAATCTGTTTTAAAATTGTAAAGCTTTTTTGTAGAAGCTCAGTACTTTTCCAATGCACTGTTGTACTAACGCATTAAGAATTAAAATTGTACCATGCTTAGAAATCAAGAATGCTTTTCATACAGAACCCACCACACAGAGAGCAAACTAAATACAAGAGAGCTGCTTTTGTAACTGTGTACCTGTCAAGAGCAGTGCATATCTGTACTATTTATGTGAACAGCTACTGTAATATAAACCCAGTTGAATTAGACATCTTAATTGCATTAAAAAAAAATGGAAATTAAATGTTATAATTGCAGTGTTTTGGCTTGGTAATGCCACCAAGAAGGAGACTATTCTAGTGGCTGGTTATTTCTTGGTATGGTTGCTAATACGTGATAATACAAACCAGTATCTACCAGTTCATTCAATGACGTTTATGCTTAATTTTCTATCAACTTTTACTTCCAGTTTTTGAGGCAACTTTCTGTAACTATTCAGCAAATAGGTATTGACAGGTTTTGGTTTTTTTTTCTTCCCAAACACCTTTGATTATATTGACAACCCCTGCATCTGTTGAGTGAACATGCAGATATATCCAGTGTTAGTAGCCTGTGACTGGAGTGCCACAGGAAAATAACTGAAGTATTAACTGGAAACCATTATCAGAGTTAGATTAAATTTGAAGATGATAATTGATTATGGGATTACACTTAACTGTAGCGAGGTCTAAGTGTATCAAACTCTTTATGCTCATATTGGACAGATTAAAACAGGATTAATTTACTTCTTAAATTATGTGTGACTTTGAAATGGAGAATTGGAGAATGTGCCTCAGCTCATCTGTGTCAGGGAAAAGATCCTTCACCCTCAGTGATCAGTTTTGGTTTATTCTGTAATGATTGTTTCCTGGCTTTCACATGTGACAGGGAAAGCAATATGTATTTGGACTCCAGGGCAGTAGTTGCTGAGGGATATGAACTGCTCTTGCTGGCTCTGTGGGAAACGTTGCTTGTTCCTCACATGATAAAACCAAAGCTGGCTTATCTCTTTTTTTCCTTTTCCTAATTAAAACACATGTTTGGTGTTTTACAGTGGTGGTCGCATAAACTGTAGTCTGCTCTGAGCCATTTGGACATCTCATCAGCTAGTTAATGATTCCACAATGTCCCAAAATTCCAAAGTTTTCCTACGTGTGCGTTTTGTGGTGCTTGGTTCAGTGGGAAACCCTGACTGGCTCTCGAGCTCGCTTTCCTCCTGGTGGGGCTTCCTGAGTGCATTCTTCTTGAACAGACGAATCAATAAGCTTGTGGGGTTTGCATTTTTCCCTCTTGACATGCATCACTGTATAATTGGAAATGAGCTGTTTCAGGTGCTGGACTCTCTATGCCAAAATTTCCTCAACAAAACAGCACTTCTGAATTTCTTCTAGTAGCCTTCACGTCACAAATACATACACTATCAGTTGCAGTTTCCAGTAGCTTTACTGACTTACAGAGCCTAGAATTAGAAGGAAAAACCCCTCTTTATGTGAATACCATGTTAGATTTCTAAAAGCCTGATGTACATCTCTGAGGACTAATGCTGGTGACCAGAAAGAAAGGAGCCCACTAGTGCAAATCAATGTGAAGCACGGCTGTGATACCTGTCATTCAACATAGCTTTCTTTTTAACGTTCTGAGTTTCCAGTAACTGTTCACATTGGTAGAATCAACTTTACACTTTTGTTATAGCTTAATAGTGGCATGCCTTAACATTTTATCTTTCTGTAACAATAGCAACTAATAAAATATTGGAGGTTTCCCAAATGGTACCAAGAACAAATAATTTAATCTCAGGTCAGGAGACCTTGAGTGTTCTCAATGTTTTCTATGCCTTTTCCTATGCTGAGTGTGCTGAAGGTGCTGGGGGGGGAGGTTCTTGTCTGATGTCTGAAGGAGTTGGCAGAATTAAATTGCTGATACAGCAAAGACCTCTTTTTTGTAGCTGAGTCATCTGTTGGCCTCTGGTAATTCAGTTTCTATTCTTTTAAAGTTAAATGGGAGTTAGAAAAAGCTACTATTAACTCTTGGGTTGCTAACCAAATACGGAGGATGTTCTTAATGTAACAGGGTTCACAATTAGCCTAATTTACGGTTTATGGATCATTTTGCTATTGAGCATTTGTACTTGCCACTTAATCATAGAATCAGAATAGTTAGGGTTGGAAAGGACCTTAAGATCATCCAGTTCCAACCCCTGGCCATGGGCAGGGACATCTCACACTAAACCATGGCACCCAAGGCTCTGTCCAGCCTGGCCTTGAACACCGCCAAGGGTGGAGCATTCACATCTTTGGGTAATTCCATTCCAGTGCCTCACGACCCTTACAGTAAAGAACTTCCTTAATCTAAACTTCCCCTGTTTTAAGTTTTAACCTTTCTCTTAGGTTACACCTTCATGGAGGGATCCAGCCATGTTAAATCCTGGCTGTAGCCACAGAAGGGTTAAAATGGCCAATTTTGCTATGTTCAAAGGCCTGGTTGCACAGAAACGGGGAGTGAAGAGGTAGAGGCTGCCCGCCTGCCTCTGCTGCCTGGTTTGCAGTGCCACCGTGTGGGAGCCTCTCTCAGCCTTCCTTGCTCGGAGCACGGCATCTTCCTTGTAGCAGCGTGGTTCCTTTCACACTGGAGGCTGTGGCTTTATTTTTGAAGGGAGTTCTTTGTTATTGCTTGCCTCAGTAGTTATCGTGGTGGCTTTGTCACACTGCTAAACCATCCACGCTCCTGCTGGGAATATCTTATCTGGTGTGAGAGCTTAATTCCTTTCCTCCTTGTACCAACAGGCCCTTAATACACAGCAAGTCACAAGGCCAAAACAGGGAAGAACGCACAGCGGTTTTGTTATTTAACAGTATGTTTGATAATTTAACTTAGATTATGAACCAATACAGACTTCTGGGTGCTTGCATTCTTTTTAACTGGGGCTTCGTCCATTAAAAGACTGTGATGTTACTCCTGGGGTTTGTTACGTTTCTCTTTGCACAAGTCAGGGTATTTTCTGCAGAGAAGTTGTAGGCAGTGGATTGATCTCATTTAGAAATGATTGGTGTAGGTACTGCACATTGCTCAATAAATGACCTTTTGTAAGAAGGCCGGATGTGCAGGTGCAGCAGCTGCACTGACACGAATATCCCAGCAGTGCTGAAGGAGTTGGAATTGTCCATTGTGCCCACTTGCAGATGAATGGATTTCCCACCACAGCTGGCACAATGAACCACAATGGCTGTCACTCCAGTTTCCTGTCACTTGGCTGGATTATGCAAATGTGGCAAGGCCAAGTGATGTTTCCTGGTGTATCTGTGTCCGTGTTTGTCTCAAAATGGTTGCCTACACAAAGAGGAGGTTCCCCGTGCTCTCCTAATGATGAGGGGCTAATGTGAAGATGAGAAAAGAAACGCAGTTACAGTCTGACGATGCATGTCTGCCTTTTACTGGTGCAATGAGGGAGTTTCTGAATCTCCCAGCATGATCTTCACCATCACTCTATGATGCAAAGCATCATGGTGGCTTAGCCACAGCCTTACGGCTAGGTTGGGATGCTTTTCATTAATATATGTGTTCACGTAACTGATGTTTTTCTCACTGATCATCCTTGCTTGGGGAAGGGTGTGTAGTACGCGTGGAGCTGGTGAGGTTCAGTGGTTATGGCAATGCCTGCCTGCGCCTCTGCCTTCTCCCATGAGGAGGTGCTTTGGATGAGGCTTGGCTTGGAGCCACATTAGGGGAATTTATAACAAATTCAGACATATTTCCCACCCTCACATACACTGGGCTTTTTGTTTGGCTAGGGAGGGAAGGAGAAGGGTGGAGAGAGAGAATCAAGGGTAACTTGCCCAAAGTACATAAAACTTGTGTTTTCATCCGTTATACCAGGGCTTCCCAACCTCCTTTTGATGGAAGTTACCTCTTTTTTTTTTTTATGGGAAAACATGCCATTGAGTTTGCTTTGATTGTTTCATCTGGTTTTGTTCCCTTAAGCTAAAATACCAAGGCCCCATCCTGCATTTCACTACCTGTTAGTAAGGCTGTTGGTTGGGAAGCCCTGAATTCCACTGAGAATGTAACAGATTTCTTTATTTTTCCTTATTTTCCCCTTTTTCGTACCGTGCTTTACATCTGTTTCTACTGGACATGTTTAATACCAAATGGTACTCTGAGGTCATGGGACAAGAGTTTGACCAGATTTGCTAGCTAACATTTAGGAGGCGTTTGTTCCCTATGTAAGATGTCATAATGCAAATTTAAATAGACTCAATAAAATGCATGAAGTGTTCATTTTGTGCTTGATCATCACTCCTTGGGTTTGTCCTTCTTATGGTGGGAACGTGCTGGAGTAAATGATGATGGATGTCGTAGGAATCTATTTCCTCCATAGGCTTTTTGCTTGAGGCTGGGCAGAAAGGAAGGAGCCAGAATGGTAGAGTTGACTTCTTGGAAGGATTTATTGCTCCCTTACCACATAAAACTGAAGCAATAAATCTCACTGTCCCAGCCTAGTGTAAATCTGTCAGTGGATGATGTGAGATACCAAAGCAGTGTCTGCAAATGGTCTTTCAGATCATAGCTGTGACTCCTATGGATGCCTGCCAGTATCAAGGCCCAGTGATCAGGGCTGAGTCTCCCTAAGACTACAGTGTTCAGTGGCTTTCAGGAGAAGCTCAAACCATCCTAAAGTCAGTACCTGATGTACGTGCAAATACTTGAGTGGGAAGGGAATTTTTTAGGGTGTGGGAAGGCATCTTCATTATCAGCTTCCCTCACCTCAGGAACCCGGGAGGGGCGTGATGACAGTAAAACAAAAGGGTAGGAAGGTGATGGATAGCTTGGAAATGCGATACCCGGTGTTTTGGGTGCCATGGTGCTCAACAGCACTGTGAGTGATGCTCTTTGGTGGGTAAGGAGGAAAGTCGTGGGCTTCTCCAAGGTTGCACTGAGTCAGGATTCAGCTCCAGTTCCCTCTTCCCACAGGGAGAGCTCTTGGATAAGGGTGGTTTCTATTTCCCTTCCATTCCCATACGCTTTGTCTTGAGCTCTGTGGTCTGTCTTGCTCTGTAAGTGTGCAGTGCCATCTGAAACTGAGTTTTTAATGCTGGTGTCAACTCTTTGGTGACTTCATCCATGAAGCAGTTCCCACACTCTGTATCAGGAGTTCTTTGCTAGGTCGCTGTCTCCAGCCCCACATCTCTCTTTAGGAAGTCCTTTGGTTTAGGTGGCCCTGTATTTGTTCCTTAAAAGCTGTCAATCAACCCCAGTGGCTGCCCCATCCCTGGCAGTGTTCAAGGCCAGGTTGGACACAGGGGTTGGGAG